AATGTCTTAAAATGGGTTAATGAATTGCCTTGTGGCTTTTTCATCTGCTCTTTCTTGCCCCACTTTGCCTGTTTACTCTACTTGAAGTGGGAATAGTTTATCTATAACTGCTGTGTTTTTTTTTTGTTTTTTTTTGTTTTTTTTGAGGCGTAGTTTCACTCTTGTCACCCAGGCTACAGTACAATGGTGTGATGTCAGCTCACTGCAACCGTCTCCCAGATTCAAGCGATTCTCAAGCCTCAGCCGTGCCCCTTTTAAAAAAAAAATTATTTTTCTTTCTTTTTTTTTTTTTTTGAGGCGTAGTTTCACTCTTGTTGCCCAGGCTACAGTACAATGGTGTGATGTCAGCTCACTGCAACCGTCTCCCAGATTCAAGCGATTCTCAAGCCTCAGCCTCCCAGGTAGCTGGGATTACAGGCGTGCATCACGACACCTGGCTAATTTTGTATTTTTAGTAGCGGAAGGGTTTCACCATGTTGTCCAGGTTGGTCTTGAACTCCTGACCTCAGGTCATCCACCCGCCTTGGCATCCCAAAGTGCTGGGATTACAGGCATGAGCCACTACACTTTAAAAACTGTGTCATAATTTTAAAGAGGCCTGCATGTTTGAGAGTCATCAGAATAGTAGTGGTAACTGTAAAACAGAAAAATTGTCGACCGGGCACAGTGGCTCACACCTGTAATGCCGGCATTTTGGGAGGCCAAGGTGGGCAGAGCACCTGAGGTCAGGAGTTCGAGACCAGCCTGACCAATATGGTGAAATCCCATCTCTACCAAAAATACAAAAACTAGCCAGGTGTGGTGGCAGGCGCCTGTAGTCTCAGCTCCTCGGAAGGCTGAGGCAGGAGAATCGCTTGAACCTGGGAGGCAGAGGTTGCAGTGAGCCGAGATCATGCCATCACACTCCAGGCCTGGGCAACAGAGCGAGACTCCGTCTCCAAAAAATAAACAAACAGAAAAGTTGTCAAGGCAGATTATTTGCAAAGATGAGCCGAGAATGCTTACAGTAGTCAGTGAACAAAACATTATTAGTAAAAGGTGTTAGTGGTTTTTAAAAAAACTACTGTCCATGTTCAATTTGTTTTTGACCTTTTCTTCTGTTTTTGAGGAAAGATAAGGGTTTCCAATGACGATTTATTATAGTCAGAATTCCATGGCTGGTACCCTGGCTACTGATACACTGCCATCCAAATTGGTCTTTCTGGGCAGCTGCCATTTAAGAGTAGTTGGTTGCTTCTTACACTGGGTTCCCTGCAGCTTGCAGGGTTTGTATTCCAGTGGCAAAGACACATTGTGGGAAATGAACCAATGGCGTTTGATGGGTAGTAACCCATCTGATATTTGCTTGGTGTGTAGGGAGGCAAAGTTTTCCCTAATCATGCTGCTTGTCTTTTTGAAAAAATCAATTCCATCAGGGGAATCTTTAAAAATTTTCAAATGATCATCAGCTTTTTCCTATATCTTATAATACAATAAAAACTATTTCTTTTACTTTCTAAGGCATAGTCTAACCATAAAAAAGAAATCACATCTGTACTTAAATCCCAGCTTTACTGGTTTCTAGATATGTGACTTGATCAAGTTATGTGCTATCTGAGCTTGAGCTTTCTATTCTGTGGAATGGGGATAATAATTCGTTTTTTGAGAGGACTACAATTAAATAAAGTAACGTATAATAAAGACTTACCTTAGTATAGTGCAAAAGGGAGTTGGCAAAAAAACGACACAATTTGAGTGTTTTCTGAAATAATCTGTAGTCAGCATTATCCTGCACCAAAAAGGGAAATAAGCATAATAAATAAGAATATAAAATTAGCTAAACTTACAAATGAGACAATGTTTTCTAAAAAACAAAAACAAAACCTCTTAAATATGGTATAAAAATTTTCCAAGAAAATATAACTCTTCTTTGAATTATTAGGTGCAATGCAAATAACAAATGACAATAGAGGTATTAAATTCTACATTACTGAAAAGAAACCTTAACCTATGATAGCAAAAGAGGTGATCCTTCTTGGTTGATCTGAAAGTGAAAGAAATTTAAATACCTTATTCTTTGTTACATGGGGATAAGTTTAACGGATGGTCAAAAAAAAAGGTCTTACAAATCAAAGAAAGAATGATACATAAAAGAAAACAGGTAAAGACATAAAAACATATTTCACAAAAAAGACAAAACAAACTGCCAATAAATTAATACTGAAAAATATCCAAATTACAACCTAATTATATATATTTGGGGAAGGGGGAAGTTTGCGGGTTATTTGATTAGCAAAGATTAAAAAGACTGATAATATCCCTGCACTAGTAAGGAAGTAAGGTAACAAGCACTTTCTTTTACCACTGATGGGAACATAAAATAATACATTATTATAAAAAGCTGAAGTGTTAAAACATCTTAATTGAGTAGCAATTCAATTTCTGGAAACACAGTCTATAGAAATACTAGCATAGGTATGCAATATGACATTTTTGGTTGCTTGGCCTATGGAGTAGCTATTCTTTATTCCTTTACTTTCTTCATAAACTTGCTTTCATCTTACTCTATGGATTCACCTTGAATTCTTTCTTGCACAAGATCCAGACCTCTTTTGGCGTCTGAATCAGGACCCCTTTCCAGTAATAACTTCCTGGCAAATGCCGTAGGGACAATACTGAGACCTCCAGTGCCAAAAAGTAGACTGCAGCACCAATTGGCCAACTTTCGTTAAGTGGTGGGGTACCCAGGTGACAAAGAGGATTGGGTTAGAGCCCCAACTTATAGGAGTTGAGAGTCTCTCCTAAGACAGGGTGGGTTTAAACACCCCTCTTAATAAAAGGAAAGGATGCTTGACTGAACTTTGGTTTGCGGCCCAACTTAGGAAAATTAGACTTCTTCCTAAGATTTAGGGCATTAGAGATCCCCCTCAGTAAAGTCCCTCTGGGCTAAGAACGGGTTTGGCACTACGGGATATTAACTGCTATTCTCTTTGGATTACTCAGCCTTGCACTCTTGCTGACGGCTATGGGTGACAGGATTAGGCATGTACAGAATCATGGGACATGGGGAGCTTTTATCCTTCCCAAAAGGGGAAACTTGAGCTGATGGGACTGCTGAAAAAGGTCCCTTCACTACAGACAAGTGCTGCCTGAACTTGACTCAGTGTCACTGCAATGGAGGGGTCTTTCTCAGGCCTCCCTGAGCTCCTCACCGTCCCAACCCTGACACAGGCAATGCTTTTCTCCCATTCTCTCCTTTCCCCTTCTTATCTTTTCTGTTACTCAGATCAACTGTCCATTCTTTCATCTTGCCCAGAGACAACATGTTGAAAAATATCCTGAGGAGCTTGACCTTGTAACCACATGGCAGTACTTGCTCTGTCTCTACCATCCCGAGAACAGGAATTTGGGGGTTGTTATAATTAGCTCTAAAAATTATCTTGAGCCTTTGCAAGCTCAAAATTGGCTGCTCTGGGCTCCTTCTGGAAAGAGCAATGGAAATTGCTTAGTGCTGGAGCTCAGCAGCTAAGGCTTTGCCATTTTACAATGGCTGGTGGCCCAGGTTCAATCTGGCAAAGGCAATGAGTACTTTCTGGTTGATATCTGTGTGACCTTTACCATTTGTTGATTCTCTTCCCCTCCATGAACTGTCTTAAATTTTTCTTTCTCGGAGCACCTGGAAGGTTACCCGCTTCAAAAGCCAGAAATATTGGCACTTTGGCATGGCTAAAGACGGGTAACAGGGGATTTAAAAGGATGTTTTAAAAAGTGCCGTGGTTAAGTCAGCTTAATTGAAAGCAGATAATCAAGTTTTAACAGCCTCGGACTCCATCGGAAAACAGAGGGGGCACCACAGATCCCTTTTAAGTGAAAACCTCTATTTTCCTCATGGAACCCCAAAATTTAAAATGGATAGATCCCTCTCAAAATCTAAGGCTGTGTTCTGTTTTGCATTGCACTATCTGATGATTTTCACTTTGGGGGTATCAGAAATTACTTCACAGAGCTTTCGTATATAACTAGGTAGGAAATATACTTTTGGATATAACTAATGGCACAAGCGGGATACTTAGATCTTTGCACATTTGGATCAGAAGCATGCTCTTGGCCACCTAGAAGATATGGGGATGTCCCCACTGTCCCCTCAAACCCCACTGAGATACAACTCCCATGAGTGATGGGCTGATCACAGAATGGACTGACTGGCTTTGGGTTACTGCGCAATGAAATGCATGGTAAAATCATTGGACTGCCTTGTTCTATAGCGTTTCTCTTTTGGGAATCCAGGATCCAGTATACAAATGGGACACTTAATTTTTGGGGATCTGTTTTGCATTCCAACTGTGCCTGCTTATTAGGCTGTAGACACTACATGCTTTCCTGGCCCTGTTCCTCCAAGTGCTCTACCCTCAACCCAGTAATCCAATTAAGAAACTGGCACATGAGTCAGGTGTGATGGCTCACACCTATAATCCCAGCATTTTGGGAGGCTGAGGCAAGCAGATCACTTGGGGTCAGGAGTTCAAGACCAGCCTGGCCAACATGGCGAAACCCTGTCTCTACTTGGGAGGCTGAGGCAAGAGAATCACTTGAACCCAGGAAGTGGAGGTTTCAGTGAGCTAAGATCATGCCATTGTACTCCAGCATGGGCAACAGAGCAAGACTCTGTCTCTAAATAAATAAATAAAACTGGCAAATGAAAAATCTTATAACTACTGCATCTCTTCTTCTGTGTATTTATATGTATTGTGTGTGAAATATAAAAGAGCTTTGATAACTGGTTTAAAAATAATGAACACTTAAATATTTTGTCAGAAAAGTAAAAAGTGGAATGCCTTTTAATTCATGTGACTTAAGTAATTTCTGGGAAACAGTTTTAAAGATTATTGGTAAAATCAAAATATCTTCAAAACAAAGACATGTGGTTTAAATTAGGCAGGTTAGATATTAGGTTTGCTAAATGCTTTAAGGTCATAAACTGCTTCTTTGACTTTTGAAAACTGTTTAACTTACTTACTTTGGAGCAGATTCTAGGTAAGGCTTGGGGACATGTGGTGTTAGCCAGGCCCCCTAGCTATGCTAGAAAGAGTCAGACCTTATCTGCACTTCTGTTCTGTGTCCTAGGATCCATACCTAGTACATAATTAGAATTCCTTACTTACCAAGGTTTTCCACCATAAGTAAAAGTTGCTAAGAGTTAACATTGTAATATGTAATTGAAGACTACTGAAGAAAGAGTTTTACATTACAGGTATGTAAGGAAAGTGAAATTTTTTTTGGTAAAAGATTGTAAGAAAGCATGAGAATGTGTATTTTTGACCTAGATTAAAGGGGTATAGGATTGTTTTAAGTTAAGTACGATAACGCTGAAGGTCTGAGCAAGTTGTACATTTGTAAAAAATTAATCTTGTAAAAAAAATCTGTGTGAACATATTGGCTAAAGTTAAAGGGATATTATTCAGTTTTTCCATAAATTGAACACTGCAAAAAATCACAACAGGGTTTCCTGAGAGCAATAATCTACTCTTTAACAAAAATTGTAAAGAGTTGTAAACAGTTTATGAGAATCATACCTTATGGTTATACTGATTACAATTAGATTTTATACTGATTAAATTTTATACTGATTAAAATTAGATTTGTTTACACAGTTTTATACTGATTAAATTTTATACTGATTAAAATTAGATTTGTCTATACGGTTTTATTGAGAATTGGGGTTAATAGGACACTACTGCAAAGGTGAAACTTGGCTTTTTTGGTAAAAAAAAATCATATAGGAAGCACTGTCAAATATAAAATGATGCTTGGCTTTCTTTGGGCTATATTTGTATAAATGTTACTGGCATGTGTTCCAAAATTATGGGAAACAACTATAATTCTGATATAACTTAGTGTACGTTATAATTGTTATATAAAATTGTTATGTGCCACAGAAGTAACCAAAATCCCAAGTCAATTATGGCTTTAACAGAGGCTGCTATAAGGCATTTTTGTCATCCAGAGACAACTGTCTGGTTTTAATCAAAAGGTAATTTTTAATCGGCTATAGGACTTTGACAGGTGCTTTTCAATGTAGGTTTCCGCTAACTTTGGCAACAGTGACATTACAATAGAGGAAAGAAATTTTCAGGACTCTCATGAAGAGCTGGAGTGTTCGTGGATATCAAATAGGGCAAGCGTTAACTACATGAACTGAACTAACAGAAGACTGAAGTAATTTTTTTTATTTTTTGTTTAAAATGTTGCTTATCCTTTGTTTTATTTTTCAGAGTCAAGAAAACTTTTCTTTTGAGCTGCTTTGAGCTTTTCTTTGAGCTGTTTAACAATTGAGTAAAGTACATCACTGTGAATAAAATTGGGAGCCTATTTGTTTCCGATTTCTCCAGAATTTGGAACCTATTTGTGAATATTCTCAACTTATGGCAATATAGTTATTTGCATAAGTGGAATACGAATGTTTTCTTTTGCAACAGGACACAACTGGATAAACTGATTATTTTACCAAGGCTTTGGCTGGAATAGTGTGCTTTCCTTTAAGGAATCAAACTTGACTTATAAAGCCAATAAAGGCCCTTGGGAAAACTTGCCTCATACCTTGTTTATGCCAGGGTTCCTGACCTGTGGTAAGTAAAGAATGTCACTTTCTGACAGGCCCAGGAGCCCCAAATTATCTTGGGACCTCAAGAGGAGAGGAATTTATCCAATTCATATTTTAAAGTCTTATCTGAGTTTCCTTATAAAACAGAGTTCCATCAAAGCCAGTTTTTAAAAGTCCATGTGAAAAAT